GATTATTGAAGGAAAAAATCCTTTATTATTCACAAATTTGTCAAGATTTTCTATTAAAAAGGTGAGAGCAAGATTCCATAAAAACTTTTGGTAGGTGCAACCGTGCAACATCAAAATGAAGGACGCCTCTTATCTAATTTTTCTTTTCATGATGACTCTTTTTTTTTTCTTCTAGATCTTTTAATGAATTGAGCAATTCGCGCAAACATGTTTGCTCGGCTCGTCCAAGTTATTAAAAAAAAAAAAAACTCGATCATTTAATAAATGAATCAAATTCGAACACGATATTAGGCTCGTTTAATAATCGAGTTGAGTACGAACCTATTCGTAAGCTATTCACATAGTTAGTTAACACATATATAATTATAAAAATAAATAAATATAAATACATTTAATAATATATTATATTTTACTAAAAAAGTAATTATACATAAATTAGAATTATTTATTTTTTAAACCAAGAAATACATTTAACTTATTATAGATAATGTATTATTTATAAAAAATATAATTAAATCACCTCCAAACTCAAATTCGAGCTAGAACTCAAATTTGGTCCGCTCAATTTAACAATTCGAATTCGAATTCAAACTTAAATTCAAATATTTATACAAATAAATTAATCAAATTCGATCAATATTTATAATTTGTTTAATGCTCAAGTTGAATTCCAACTCTATTCGTATAATATACGACAGATTCGATTCATTAAAAATTCTCTATTTCTTCCCCAAATCAAAATATCAGGCCAAAAGAAGAAAGGAGAAAACAAAATATTAATAAGCCTATTTTGGTACATAATGAAATTCTCTAGTCGAGTATCATGTTGAGCACTCAATAATCCAACGATTTGACATTTTTGCCTGCGCGATAGTCCCACTAACTGTGATGAGTTTGTCTTATATCAAATACTAATTCTAATTATGAATCCATTAAAGAATAATTTTATGATGACAACATCCTCTTTAATTTATATTTTCTACAAGGCATGACCCTGTAATGTGCTACTCTATCAAATGGATTATAACACGCCAGAGATCCCTATTGTGAGAGAATCTTGCATATACTAATTAAATAATTTGATGACTGATAGCTGGTAACAATCATGAGTAAACAATTTTTCAATTAATGTTATTTAACAAAATTTTTTAGTCATCTATTTACTTAAATGAATTTTTTTGAAGCAAATCACTTAAATATGACATTTTGGTGAAAGGCAAGGCACCCTACCAAGTTAAGGCGGGTGGTTTTTAGCCATCCATTCAACTTTGATGGCTTGTGTATTTTTGGAAGTTGGAAAATGCTGCGCCAAAGTCTCGCTAGATTATGTGAGTAGCATCAAAGCACAAATGCAAGCTGCAAATACAGCTGCAATTGCAATTGCACTCGAGAAAGATATTTCTTCGTATTAAAGAAATTACAGCCAAGAAAATTTTTTTATCCAAACTAGATTTGTACAATGTTACTTTCAATCTTTCCTCTACGGCTCCACCACATTAAATGTTGAGGCTCATAAAAATATGTGAAAAAAAAAGGTTCCATGGTGGTCACAGATGCCATATATCAAAAGGCAGCCCATAACAATAAATTCACTTGATGATTCGCCAAAATCAAAAAGTAGCCTCAAGTTTCTTCACATTATTGGGGTCAGCAGATGATCATGTTTGTCAATTCAACTACAGATTGGACCAAACATGGACATTTCCACCATTGATTGGCTCAAACAGGCAAAGAAATACTCGTAAACTAAAAATCATTGGACCTGTCAATTTCATCCACATAATTGGCTAAGCCTAATGATTGAGAGGCAAAATTCTTTGTTTCTCTTATCGCATCAACTAAGTATACACTCAGCAATCCTAAACTTTTTTACTTATGAAATCTTGTCCTTTTCTTGATACGAGACTAATTACTACTCTCTTTCTGTCTCATTTTGATAATTTTAATTTTTTTTCACACAGTTTAAGAAAAAATAGTTAATTTTATTGAAAAATCAAATTTAGATTGCTATTTCCCTAAAATACCCTTACATTAAATAAAGTTGGTTTTTCATATATCAATATGTTTTGAAAAATCTAAATGCATTAAATGGGGTAAGTTATATTCAATACTAACAATCTATATCAAATAAGGTAGTTTATAGTAATAACAACTTACATTAAATAAGAGTATTTTAGAGAAATTAAAAGACAACTACATTTTTCAATTGGAAAGTAGACTACAATTTGGGACAGACGAAAAAGGAAAACAAAACTATCAAAGTGGGACGGAAGGAATAGTATTTGCACGATTTGTAGTCTATCATTAGGGGTGCAAACGAGCCGAGCCGAGTCGAGTTTTGGCCTTATCGAGTCGAGCCTTAACTTAATTTTATCGAACTCGAACTCGAGCTCGACGAGCTGGTAATTTTCAAGCTCGAGCTCGAAAAAAATAAAAAATAATTATTTTATTTTTAAAAAAATAAATAAAATAATATTTTTTCTTAATAAATAATAAAATATTAAGGATATTTATGTAATTTTACTATTAAAAATAAAAATAAAAAAATAAATATATATATACTCGAGCTCGCGAGCCGGCTCGCGAGCTTAATGTTTTGAGCTCGAGCTCGAGCTCGACTCTGGCTCGAGCAGCTCGAGCTCGAGTCGAGCTCGAATCGAGCCGCTCGCGAGCGGCTCGATTCGTTTGCACCCCTATCTATCATATCCAATTGGAGTCTAGATCATGAATGCCGTTGGCGTTTGAGTAACCTTGAAAAAGAAAGAAATGGCTAGGGGGATCACCCCAAAGCTTATGTTTTGGGATCGCATGAGTGGTAATCAATAATATTTTTCAAATTGGTATATTCTTTTGGATTGTCCCATTAGACTAGATGCTTTTTCCTCACTTTGATTGGCTTAGTGTTTATCACTGTTTCATAGGCAAATAATTTAAAATTAGTGCATGCTTGCGCTTCCGTTGACTTTTTTTTTTCTTTTGACCTTTGTTTGAGGCAATATTGAGTTACCATTGCAGCCCGCTTAAAGCATATTCTCTAGCCTGTACCCTTGGCACTTTCAATAGAGCTATGGATGATGAAGTTGGTTCAACCAATTAATTTCATCCACTTGCACGAGGGAAGTTCGAGTTCGAACGCTGTCTGTTTATTTACGTACGTTGTATTAAAAAAAGTGTTACAGTGATTATTCTAAATATTATTTCAAATAGATGTCCATCCAAATTTGGTACGGGCTAACTTCCATCTCGTTCTAAAATTTTTATTTATTTAAGGAAAAAAAGAAAGAGAAAAAGAAACTAGCGGAGGCTATGGAAGCCCACCTACCCTGGAGACTGTTGAAATGGACTAAAGAAATAGACCTTACAATTAACAGCAGAGGCAAGAAAGGACTACTAAAGTGCGAAAGGGCGATCGAAAGAAGCATGTGGATCTGTATCCTGCCTTCTTTTTCAATCAAAGTTTCTCAAGAATTGTATTTTACCTTTTCAATTTGGAACCAGTTTTGCAGATTACGTCTATTGGAAGTGAGGATAAAATACTTCCAGACACCACCTTAATCTTAAAAAAGGTAAGGGAAGCAGCTTGGCAATGGAATTCATATCATGTCCAACATCACCAATTTTATGGTTCTGCGCAATGTTAGTCCTTCTTTTATTTATTTATTTATTTATTAAACTCAATATTAATACTGAATCAACATGCATGCTTGACTTCTTCATTTTTTAACAATTTTCTTGGTCTCTATATGGTACGACAACTTAGAGTTTTGAATCAATTTAACGTTAACAACACAAAAGAGGGTTAGTGAATAAGTGCCCAGTGTAACCATTGAATTTGTTTGGATAAGAGTTTATTTGGATGATTTATTTGAGATATTTACTGTAGCATTTTTTGTGATGTGATGTATGTGCGATAAAAAGGTGATTGGGAAGATAAAAAGATGATTGAGATTTGTGAAAACAAATTTTGCAAACCAAATTTGGCTTGTCCAAACAAACTAATTGAGTTTTGGCTCGGTGGCCACCAAAGAGGGTTAATTCCTCTTTGGACGGTAGGTCGAGAGTTTGAACCCTATCTACGATGAAAAAAATCCAAACGAGATATCAGAGCACCCTTTAATTTAGTCAGGTCTGGACTCCAAACGAAGGATTGGTGCTCAGGGTAACAAGATTGGTCCCAATTGGTCTAATTCATATCCTTTAGTTCAAACATATTTTTATTCTCCAGAAACAATTTGGCTCGGCCATGGATGAAATATGAATTTTGAACGATTCGATGTTGGCCTCATTAGGTGTCTTGGTGGGCTATCAACATTTTATAGGCCTCGGACTTTCCCAGTATTTTGACATATAAACCGACAAAATGATTCCAACCACTATGACAGCTACTAGTTCTAGCCCGTAAAAATTTCCTTCATTTTTCTGTGGTCGGCTTGTTTGAGCACCGTCTTTTCTAGTAGCATGAAATGGATGTGGAGTGTGAACTTGGGAATTTTGCTATTCTTCCTCAGGAAACAGAGAAAAAAATATCTGAGAATTTACAGAAAGCAGCACTGCAACAAAAAGTAAACGAGGCAGGAGACATTGTTGAAAATTTTCCAAGAAAAGGTGAAAGCTGCTGACCAAATAATTGCACCATAAGAAACTCATGCAGAAAATTTTACTGTGCATATTTTGACGTATTCACAAAGCACTTGTCCGAAAGAAAGTCGGAATGAACTTTCCGTAAAGTTATGAACAAAGTCTGTTTGAAACTTTCAATAAAATCCATTGAACATGCAATGACCTTCTGAATTACGACTACTTCTGAGATTATCCAAAAAAAAATCTGAAAAAAGTATATAGTCCTTTGCCTTTGTTAACAACTTTTCAGAAAATTTCAGTACGAAGAGTTCTTGCCAAGTCTACAGAGCAAAGCAACATGCTTTTATTCTTTCCAGCACAAACTTCAGTACTAATATGATCTTTTGAGACAAAGTTAAAAAGGTGTTAACACGTTTTATAGCTTTCTTCCATTTCATTCAGATTTGAGAAATGGCAATTATTTACTAGCTAAGTTTAAAAAAGTATCAAAAGCCAAGACATTTGTCAAAATATCCTCACGAAAAACATTAAATATTTCGAGAATGTAAGATGAATTTGTTAGATTTCTGTTTCCATTTAAATAAGCAGTGAAAGCAGACCAGGCAAGTTCAGAGCCAGTTCTTGAATCCCGATTATTCAGAGATACATGTACGGATAGAGTTGAGGATTCCATAAACTCCTTGTCGTCCACGAGGAGGGATGAACTGATGAGATAGAATCCCAGATGTACTTGATGAAATTTTCTAATTATGCAAAATGCTCCAGTGAAATCTGCAAAATGTATTCAGGGGAGAACCACAAATTAGAAAAGCAGGTATCAAAGTTATCATCAGAAGTGAATAACTGTCGAAAGAAAGAAGGCGTAGGCCTTTTACATTGTCATAATCATAAATGTGAACCTTAATTCGCCATAAACAGCTTCCGAAAATGAGACGTGAAGAGTAAACTTCAACTATATATTATTCAACTGGACATGCAAGGAAATACCTCATATAGCAGGTGGAAGCTTCAAGTTTCCATAACATCAAACATAAATGCACAAAAGAACTTTCCAAGCAAGAAAATGAGGGGAAGAAACTAAGTTACAGGAATAAAAAACATGAAAAGTTTATTATGTCCACTTATAACAAAAGCATGCTGGAAAGAAATTGTGAGTTCCTGAAACTTCAATGTGGTGGTTCTTCTTTGATTACATTTCCAGTGTATTGGCTATCACCGTTAAGAATGGATTCTTATTCAGTAAGCCATCTAATTTCCCATTTGCATGCTCTCAAAGATACAATATAGAATGTTGTCCAAACAAGCACGAAACTGGAAAACCATGGACATGCTTTTAATATAACACTTTTACTTCTGTTTCCATCATTTAAACTGCTTTGGAAGATCATATGAATTATGGTATTGCTCTGAAGTAATCTTTTAACAATGCCCCTATTATCCCTAAGCCTAATATGCCAAAATGAGTCGTGTTGAATACGTCACTGAAAAACAGAAAGTAGTTAAGTATTCAGGCCTACAGTACAATATAAGCACTGCCTAGATCCCAGAAATGCTAAAACTTTTTTCTTCGTGTGATAAACAAGAAGTAGACCCGTAAGAATCAGTATAAAAGCACAGAAGCCCGTTTGCCTTGGAAATATGAACTTTGAGTTTCGGATGCTTATCAACTACACTATGCTCCTGTCTTAATGTTTGTCCATTTGTTCCCTACCTCTTCTCCTCTTATCATCTCTTCCACTCTCTTTAAACCAGCTATGTAACAGTTCAGTACTACACTACAATTTTGGAGTTACATTTTTGTCTTGGTAACTTGATTGGGGAAGGGGCATCATTCCTAATAATGGATTTTGGTGTTTGTCCAAAATTAATTCAGGAATCATAACCACCAAAGATATGAAGAAAGATGACAATATGAAATAGGCAAAACATATACCTACTTGTTATAAACAATCAAGATGAGAAACATCCTCAATTTGAGTGAAGCAGGTGCAAAACAGATTTTCTTTCAGGCATACTTGGAATGGCTCCCTTCACTTGAACACAAAGTGAAGCTGCTGCAGCTGCAAGTCATTAGGGTTTTTGTCAGACTACTAGTACTCAACTGATTCTCACATTATAAGGGAATTAGAAAACTACCAGCAAATTTTAAGCACTCTTTCTGGGATTTTCCCTCTGCAAGAGCCACGGCAAATGCAGCTGTAAAGGTATCACCAGCCCCTGTAGTATCAATAACTTTTGGAGCTGATATAATAGGCTGCCTAATTGGTTCTTCTCCTTCAGTGAAAAGAGCTGAGCCTTTAGCCCCAAGTTTCACAAGGACTTGCTTTACACCCTGAAAACATATATGTGGACCTATCATCTACATTAACATCATATTCAGGTTGACTGAATACATAATCATAGTGACACTAATTACAAGTTGACGCTCGCCATTTTACAGTGAAGCACCAGAAGTAGAGAGTAGTGCGAAAGTTGTTGATATTTCTCTCTTTTTACCATTTGTTACAATCCAAATTAGAATAACTTTATCCGGTCAGAATGCCACCTAACATAGTTCAATGCCTCAAAGTAGCATAATAACATCTACAATCCAAATAAAAAAACTTCAGCTTTAATGGACCAGTGTCCATTACGCATCAAACAACTAACCACATTATGGCATTTTCCCACGGCTTGTTTGATTTGTTCAAAATCTTCTGTTGGCATATTTGTCAAGCGGGCAAGTTCAGTTTCATTTGGGCTCAGAATATCAACTACAGCCACTAGCTCAGGAGGGATTGGTGACTCAACTCCTCCAGCATCTAAAATGACTGGAACACCTGCAGTTTGGGCAGCCTGAAGACATGACAATGCTTGTTATAAAATGGTTTCATTGTCTGGATTGAATTGGCATTAATTCAGACTAGGATAAGCCTTTTTGGGTTGGAGTTTAAGAGTTGACAAATATACATGAATACATGTATAGCAACCTTGTAAACAGCATACATCAGCTAGCATACAGAAAGTGCACCATGAGTTCAAAAACTAATATAGGCAAGTTAAAAGATCTCTATGAGCTGTTTGAAAGACACGCTCTTTTCATCTTTCATAAAATTTTCCTTTCAGAAATTATTCTTAAAAGTGGCAAGTTACTTTCTGTAGGACACCTACTAGGATAGGTAAAGAAATCCCTAAACATTAGCCTAAGACCATATAAAGTCTAACTCCAATGTATCGTTAGCTGCTTCTTACAAGTTTTAAAAGAATTTTGTAATGGGAAAAGTGTTTATGAATCCAAGAAGCAACGATCTTCCGATTACCCTCATGATCCTCGTAAGCACAGGAGTTTGCAAGACAAAAGATTCCCTTTCTTCTACATGAAAACAATATGGTTCCAGAACAATGCATACAATCAACTCATACTTATCTAAATCAGACACCAATGCATTTTACACCAAAAGTTCAACTTTAACTGCAGTAAACCTGTCAAAACGAAATAAGTACTTTGAAACTATCTAACGCCAATCTTAATTACTAACTTCTGGACACCTTCTAACTGGAGGAAGCGTAAACAAGGACAAGGTTAAAGCCACAAACCAAAGCATTGTCAGCGCAGAGTTTCAATTAATAATTCATATCTGATCATTCCAAAAGCATCAAGAATACTTCTTTCTGAGTACGCATACTTCGCAACAGGATCAGCACATAAAGTTCTAGACTTTCTAAAAAATAATTGAATAAATAAATAAAGCAAAAGTCAAGGACCTGACCTTTGCAACTTGAATGTTAACAGAATCAGGAATTTCTCTCTGAAGCAAAAGAATCCCAGCATTCTTCACTACCTCCAAGCTCTTATCAGAGAGAATATTAGGCCAGCAAGACATATTTGCACCACCAACAATGATAATTGAATTCTGCCCATCAGATTGCAGCATTACCACAGCATGACCAGTAGGAGCATCTGAAACTATACTCAAATAGTCAATATGCACTCCACCACCCTCAAGTGCCTCGCTAATCAATTTCCCATGAGCATCTTCACCCACTTGGCCAACAAAATAAGTTGGATATGCCAATTTCCCACCACAAACCGCCTGATTAGCCCCTTTACCGCCAGCTAGAGTTTGGCCAGTCTTGGCTGAAATTGTCTCCCCCTCTCGTGGCATCCTATCAATCTCCACATATATATCTGCATTGGCTGATCCAACCACGACTAAGGGTGGCTTGGTGTCCTTTTCGATTAGTTGGTTCGGGGCTTTTGAAGGGTTTAACGCAAAACAAGTAATTGGCCTCACTTTTCTAGAGGGTGGGAGGTGACTACTAGCTCTGAACCCAATCTGGAATTTTGGGTTAAGATTTCCATAACTTTCTTTGATGGGATTGCTGTGAGCTGTTGGGTTCAAATGATTTGATGGCGAAAGCGTTGCTGCCATGCCGCCTCTAATCTTTCCGTCTTCCCCTAATCCCTCCTGCTGAAAGCTATGCTTCTCTTGACTGTGATGACTCATTATTGTCTTCGGTTTTGTACTTTTGTACGAGGCGACGTAGACTGGAAAATAATTATTTTTTTAATCAAGATGGATAGCCTATGAGTTGACGCTATCTCTGGTGCGTGAATGACAACGCTTCTACTTCTAGTTGATTTTAATCCTCTATCAACAAGCCAAACGCGGTTAATCCAATCTTTAAAAGTCAAAACTCAAATAGATGTAGTTTAATCTGTTTTGGACAAGGAAAATGCTTAAATTACCTCTCTTAAACTTTGATTTTCTATACTCTATTAATTAATGATTTTATAGCAATGGATATAGATGAATGATAAATGTAAAATAAAAATTTTGAAAAGTAAATTCTTTGAATTTAGGATTAACTCGAAACCAATATAGCGGTCAAAAGACATCTTTAAAGATATATGGTTTTAAGATCATGGTTCAAAATCTCGATCGAGATCGAGATGACGTCGAAATGGATCTATCCGTTTCGATACTAGAACAAGATATCTCTGAAATGCATCAATCGTCGAGAAATCGATCGAGTTATCGAGAACGCAAGCAAAAAGATTTTGATACGGATAGTTTCGGCCAAATCGGTCTGAATTATTTCGAGTCAAATCATAAATTTGCATTTTACGGATTTTTTTTTGTTATTTTTATTTATTATTTTTGTTTAACATATTTTTGAATATTATTCATAATTTTTAGAATATTAAATATTTCAAAATTTACATTTCGTCGTCGAAATCTTGATCGATATGTTGAAATCGCTGTGGAGCAGCACGAACCGCGCGACTGTGATTTTGAACCATGCTTAAGATGGACTATATTCGAACAAATCTTACTCCAATGAGCTCGAACAGCATTCCTAGTAGGCAAATAGTTGGTTTCAAGATTCTGGGAGCTGGTTCATGCCTCCATCTCGTAGCCCAAACACCCGAGCTACCAAACAGGGGAACAAAAAAAAAAAAGAAAAAAGAAAACCTCAATTTTGTTGTTAGTGGATGGTGGTATGCCACGTAAAAGATGAAAATTCAGGTACTCATTAGACCATGATTATAAGCTGAACGTCATATCCTAGTCCTCAAAGTTGTATAATCTAGAAGACGTAAGAAGAATTTTGTGTAAAGTTGCAATATTTTGTGGTGCATATTGAGGGAATGCAGCTGTAAACATACACCCAGTAACGCTAAAGCTCCTCTTGTTTAACATTAGTAGTATTTTCCTGGGAAAAAAATATGACCTTGTCAGCAATGGCTTCTCATAGCATAACAAGCAGCTTGACCTGGTTAATTAACTTTTCAACAAAATCCCATTTCACTATTGATCATAGAACCCAGTTTTGCACAGCTGTTGGGACTCTAAAGAGACCAAGAAACAGGAATTCCTTCAAAATTCGAGCTATGGGCTCCTCACCTTCTTCCCCTAAACCAGACAGCGCTCAAGGTATCTATTTTCTTTTTCTATCTCTCTCACTTCCAGGCGGGCAAGTATAGCGTTTAAATTTCAATCTTTAAATTTGTGTTTTTTGATTTTGTGGAACCCTTTACGCAAATATGGCAGCTAACATTGAGTTGGACTGCAATATGTGTGCAGCTTAAATTAATTGACAAACGGGCTCAGGCCAATTCGTGGTTTGATCATTAAGGGTTAATATCAGAAACCTCCCTTGAGGTTTCTTCTAATCACATCTAGCACCCTCCATGTTTTTGAAATCACACTTAGCACCCCTGGAATGACAACTTTGGTATCTTGTCAGCCCCTCTATTTGAAAATGGTAGTAAAAAATGAATTGTAGGAGAGAGACTTTATTTTTGTTCCACTTTTACCCAAAGCCCAAAATGATTAGTGAATTTTAGAAGATAAAAATAGAAATAAATAGGCATATGATATTAATTTAGAAGCTGATGGTGTAAAAGTGTAATAAAAAGAACGTTATAACTAATTATCAGATATTTTGGCGATATAGAGATGCATAACTAATTATAGACCTGGGGCGGGAACGGTTGCACTCTGGAAGCTTGTGTGCATTTTGCATACGGTGTAACATCATTTGTACACGTTGTAACACTAGAACAACAGCGAGTAATTATACTACCTTTAACAGCAGTAACCGTCTCACACGGTGTAACATCATTTGTACACGTTGTAACACTAGAACAACAGCGAGTAATTATACTACCTTTAACATCAGTAACCGTCCCACACGGTGTAACATCATTTGTACACGTTGTAACACTAGAACAACAGCGAGTAATTATACTACCTTTAACAGCAGTAACCGTCCCTGCCCCTTCTCCACTAATTACATAGTTCATGATACTACATTGGATCAGTCTAGTAACATGATACGTAAGCCTTATATTGCAATCCAATTCTGAACAAAAACACCATCTACAACTAGTTGTTTAAATGGTGAGGATTGCAATGCACAAAACTATACACAAGTAGCTCTAAGATTAGTCAAACAGCACCATAAGTGGCAGAAAATATAAATCAGATGCACATTGCACCACTTATCAAAAAATTGTCCACAAAAGCTAACATTGCTTCAGTATTGCTGGGAGCTAAGAAGACTAGTACCTAAACTACTTCAGATACCAAAAGCAAGGATTGCGGGGAACCTTTAGCACTCTCAAAACATCATAGAGAAACTGCTGGTAATAGTGTTAGAGGCCACTATTGCAGCAGTATTAATGCTAACAGAAGTTTCGGCTTGAGATCCACCATTTAGAGTAGCTTGAGCATTTGGTACAAAAGGAATTATACCTTGCTTGTTTACAGCAGCATTGGTTTTCCAGCATTTCCCCGCGTAAAAAATTGCCTGGTGTTGGTGGTTTTTGAGTAATTTCTCACCTTTTGATTAGGACAACCTGTCACATCCTACTGCCAGGGGTGCTAAGTGTGATTTCAAAAACATGGGGGGTACTAGATGTGATTAGAAGAAACCTCAGGGGAGGTTTCTGATATTAACCCGATCATTAAGCTAGAAATTTGACGGTGGTTGTGAATGTTTTCAATGTGTGTACAAAAGACTCAATTTTAGCTGAAATTTGAACTTAATTTGTGCACAACTGACATGCTCTGCCTTGTTGCTAAGCTATCTGCTCTGCACCTACTGTTCTTGTTTTTAAATGCGGGAAATCTTTAACTTTTTATGTAGGATTTTTTGAAATTGATGTCAGAGCATATTTATTATGAGGAGTTCATTCTGCCCGAAAAAAAAAAAAAACTTTGAATTCTTGTTCATCAATATTTTGGCTGTTGGGGATCCCTTGTCCAGCTCCTTCCACTTTTATGCTACAGCATTTAATGAACTTTTTGGTGCATCTTATTGACTTGCAAATTGTAATTTGTTTCGTGTTTGTATTGTATCTGGGTGGCAGGTATCTCCTGAGGAGTTAAGTTTTATCTATCATTTATGTGTTCTTCAAAGATTTTTCATCTTAAATCAATTTTTGAATCCACTATGCTATGCAGCAACTAGTAATGTAGATTACAGTTCTTTAAGTGAAGAAGAATGGAAGAAGCAGCTCACAGAGGAGCAATTCCATATAACCAGGCAAAAGGGTACTGAAAGGGCTTTCACTGGGTATGATTTCATCGATCTGGCATGCTATAACTTGCACTCGTTGTCCTTGGATTGTCTATTCAATATTTGCATGATTTTATAATGTTTGTTGTTAGAAAGGAAATCTGAAAGAGGTTTTCAGTAGTTGTAAACTGGAAATAATGGTATTGTTAAGCACGTAATATCTGCTACACATCCAGATGATTCGGTTTAGTTTAAGGAGGATTTGGGTTATATCCGCAAATAGTATTGAAGAAGAGGAGGCAACATTGCTGTTACCTATATCTTGGTTTATTCCAGTCCTGTATCATGAATCAATTAGCTTCTTCATTAATCAAAAACCTGAGTGACTAAGGCTATGTGCTTTCCTGTTGTTTGACACCCTAAATTCCTAGTCTCTTAGCTAAGAGCTTTTCAAGACACTCAGTGGTACGGTGGAATTCATTTGATCTAAAGATATTAAAGCAAAAGTCCTCTAGGTGAGAAGTATGACCAGAGGATTAAGGGCAAGGTAATTGTTATTGCACTGGTGATTATGAAACTCGGTTATGGCACCAAGTCATTAAGACTAATCAGAATTTCAAACTATTATATATCATCTAAAATATTGTTTGATATACATTTTCTTCAGGAAAATCTAGAACTTGATCTAGCTCCCTGGATTCAAGTTCATGTCAGAAAGCAGCTTTTGTTGATATTCACTGCCGCAAGTTTTGCAAGCACCTTTTATGTGCAGAATGACTGACTGACTTTTCTCTAGACTACGGGTATATGGAGATAAAATTGATCTATAGACACGCCAGACTTGTTTTGCTCCTCCTGGCTAAGCAAATTCTATAGCTTAGTCGGGTCACCAGACCTGTCATTTACAAGCTCAGTTCCTGCTTCTTCCAGTTTAAAGCACTTCTCAGGCCATTTCACCCAAAAAAGTTCAGCAAATGTTAATAGTGACAATGAGAAAGCATAATACATGTCATCGAGTGACCATGTCTATTCTTGGTGGTCAGCTGATTATCGAATGGTATTTTTCTAGATGTGATAGGTCTTAGTGCTAATAATTTCTCTTTGTTGCATGTATTTTGACCAGGGAATACTGGAATACCAAAACCCCTGGAACTTACCACTGCATCTGTTGTGAGACTCCTCTTTTTGAGTATGTATTCTACTTCAAACCAATTTTTTTCCTTCCAGTGATTTTGGAACTCCGAGTATGTGCATAAACCGATATGCTAGCGTCGCCTTTCCAGATCATCTACCAAATTTGACAGTGGAACTGGATGGCCATCTTATTATAAGCCGATTGGAAACAATGTAAAGTCAAAGTTGGACTTGTCCATCATTTTCATGCCCCGACAGGAAGTTTTGTGTGCAGTTTGTGGTGCTCATCTTGGTCATGTGTTTGATGATGGCCCTCCACCTACAGGAAATCGGTATTGCATCAACAGGTACTAGTTTACTT